ATAGACGTCAAATTATAAGGTAACGGTAAAGTTCATTTGACGTATATTTGATTTGATCCTGATTCTATTGCGTCAAAACTCGTCCCGTTGATTTATTTATTCGTTACCTATTTATGATGAGTTAATAAAAATATGTTTTTTACGTTAGTTTTCTTGTATAATATTTTTTGAAAAAGGGCTATAATCTTCTATTATTAACGAAATTTGGTGTTAAAATATGTCAAATAAATTGCCTAAATTGTAATTATTAACTAACCTATCCTAATTGAAATTCTAATAATCCTAATTACTATTCTACAAACTATAAAGATTAATCAAGTTCCATGAATGAACATCCAAAAATGAAGCAGATCGAAATGTATGTAAATCTCCAACTGGTACAAGCGATACTGAAATGGAAAATGACCTTTTTTCCTACCAACAATGTCCAGGGGAAGCCAATATTTCGATTTTTTATACAACTTAGAATGGCAAACAAGCTGACGGCCCACCTGATGGAAAGTGGTAACCGTCGTCTATAGACATGAGCAGTACCACGGGCATAACAGAGTATACTGTTTCGCCCATGATACCCTCCATGCGTTGCTATTCCTGAGGACTCAGGTGTTATTCCTCTGTACCCTGTAAATTTACTACCATATCTCACCTTTCAAACCGAAACATAGCCATGCAAACACAACTGCTTCACGGTAGAAACATGAATGGGACAGTGGTGTTCAAGCAAACGACTTTTGTACAGTCTCCCTTTGTATTTCTTTTATTTTGCGTTTTGTGTATGTCTATCTATAACTGTTGTGATTTCTGTGTTGTAAGTAATGCAAATAAATTATATATCTATCTATCTGTCTGTTACTAACGAAGAAGCTACTAAACTGCAAACCTCAAAACAAACTCCGTGGCCAATAAATAATAAGCTCATTTAGCGAGTACCACAATATTGTTGGTGACACGACACTTCATGTCTCATATATCTAATGCTGTACAAGTTTGTTTGTATGTCTGTACGCTGTTAAAATATATTCATTCGTGCAAACGCTCGTCTAAGCACATAAATCAACAGTGCCTTAGGCGGCTTATTAATATTTGCTGTTTGCATTGATATACAGATATTGGAAGTGGCTGCGTGCAGTTCAATAATATATATATACATATATATATATATATATATATATATATATATATATATATATATATATATATATATATATATATATATATTGAAAACCGATATATTATTAGTAATAATATTTATTTAATCAGACTACATAAGGTCCATTTTGTTAGTTAAAAATTGACTTAACCTATGTTAGTAAATGAGCTTTCATAACGCTCTTGCATTGGTAACCTGCCCCACCCAATATTTTAGGTTGGGACAGTCTATTTTATCTGCAATTGTATTCAGGACACTGTTTGAGCTAACACGCACCCTACCCAATAGCGAAACAATTCGTTTGCGCCGTATTATTATTATTAAACGATGTAATATGTTATTGAACAAAAAAAGAGTACTGGTAATGGTACTGATCTGTGAGTATATTCTTTCTGATAAGAATGTAATTTTCTATATCACTTTAGAACTGATCGAGATATGAGGTAACAACCATAAAAATTATACCGAATTGTGAACTTCCTTCTTTTCGAAGTCGGTTAAATACGAATACGCGTAAACTGTGAACATGAGTTTTTTTTGATGGGTGAAAATGGTATGGTAACCCCGCCTGCGCTAACGGGATACGCTGGCGGAGCACCAGTGATGGGTGATAGATGAGAATGAAAACAGGCCAGTTAGCCCATCATGATGAATTCATCAGGAATTAACCATGATAGTTTCCAGGGAGAACCGCGAGGAGGTCGACCTGGTTGGGTATATTGTAAGCAATAGGGTTCTCAGTCTCCATTACTAACAATCTTTTTCCCCCCTGGGAACATGAGTTACAGTGTAAAATAGTGTATGTAAGTCATATCTAGTAACTTAGTTATCTTTGGTTGTAATATAAGTAAGATACTATCTTAGGCGTGATTGTTGAGGTTTCCGCTAAGAAAGAGATGCAAGATTTTGCGATGTACAGTCGTTACAAATTATTACTGTAAATATTCGATACTCGGCATTTTTACGAATTCTTTTATTAAATTTACATTAGGATCGCATTTCATTTTACTCTAGTTTATTATATGCTAGAGACGCATTTAAGTCTACAATAGTTTATTGTATCAGCCGTGAACTTTTTTTTATACAACTTAGAATGGCAAACAAGCTGACGGCCCACCTGATGAAAAGTGGTAACCGTCGCCTATAGACATGAGCAATACCATGGACATAACAGAGTATACTGTTTCGCCCATGATACCCCCCATGCGTTGCCATTCCAGAGGACTAGGGTGTTATTCCTCTGTACCCTGTAAATTCACTGCCATATCCTACCCTTCAAATAGAAACACAGCCATGTATACATAACTGCTTCATGGTAGAAACTTTATTATTTTTTATATTGAAATTTAACTGTCCACTGCTAAACATAGCCTTCTCTGTAAGGCGAGTTTTGCCAATAGTTGCCAAGCTCAAAGTTAGTAAAGTAAAAAACAGTAAAATAAATACTCGTTGGATTATATCGAGCCTGAAGAACGGGTCAACTTTTGTCAGTTTAGATGTTTCATTGTCAAATTAGCTGACAAAAAGTTTTTTTTTTTATTAAAGTTCCATATACTTACGCACATGTATCTATACTTAATTATTTAAAAAATAAATTGATTTTTTGCGCATTAAAAAGGCGCAGAATTTATAAGACAAAATTAATAAAGAAGTTATAAAGAATTCACTCGTAACTATTTATCACGCAAAATCGTATGAAAAAGTTGAGCCGCTTTTCTCGAAGCATTTGTATGGAGGCACTTCATCTATATAATCTAAGAAATGCTCGTATACTCACGACTATAATCCCTAGTGGGGTGACCCCTATATTACATTTAGGACTCTGGATATTTATCTCGGTGACTGTACAGCTAAAACAAACTCTATTTGTATTTGTCCGGGCGGCATAGAGAGGCGAGGCGTGTTCTATTATTAAAAATCTACCTTTTGCTTACAAGAATTCAGTGGCACAAGAGACGGCTGGCTAAAATTAATAGAGTGGACATTTATAATTATATATAGGATTATACCATATTTTTTTATAGTACTATGGTGGCAAACAAGCATATGCCCCGTTTGACGTTAAACGGTTATCGTAGTCTTTGGACGCCTTTAGCACTAGGGTTGTCACGCGCGCGTTGTTGCCTTTTAATATTTAATAATTCTTATATACAAACATATACATATTTTCATAGAGACTACGTACACTAGTAGTAAGCTGGAATTAATTGTTTAAGTCTTTGAAGATATATTAAAATTTAATTTATCCAATAATTTAATTATAGTAATTACACGGACATTAATTTTGAATTTACTTTTTTTTGTGTAATTAATTTATTGGAGAGTTCAAATATTCGATAATAGGACAAGTATATTAATTTAGCATAGTTTTACATTCTAATTTCTAAAGCATGTTTTTAAATCTACCAACAACACGATTATTCTTGTCTGGTAACCCTGTGTTTGACGTTCATCTATGACTCTTTTTTTTATGGGTGAAAATGTTATGGTAACCCCACCTGCGCTAACGGGATACGCTGGCGGAGCACCAGTGAAGGGTGATAGATGAGAATGAAAACAGGCCAGTTAGCCCATCATGATGAATTCATCAGGAATTAATCATGATAGTTCCCAGGGGGAACCGCGAGGAGGTCGACCTGGTTGGGTATATTGCTAGCAATGGGATTCTCAATCCCTTTCCCGCCAATATCTATGACTGTTTGATTCCACATTTATACATATCTATATATACGAGTATATCAAGATATTATTGTAGTGTAAAATCGACTTATTGAATTTAGTAATAAAGTGTAAATTTAAAATTAACCATTATTAAGTTTGTTATCTAGGATTCTTCAGCAACAATGCGAGGAAAATAAATCCAACGGATGTCAGGGTTTCAATTAGCATTTTGATTAAATTTAACATAGCTCCCGAACAAGTTCCGAATTGCTCATGTTTTTTAATCTACATTATTATGTAGTATGAATTTGTTAATAGGCATTTCAGTTCTCAAGATAGAACAAAAGGGTTCTGATGATTAAACTGATGATACTGATGATGATGATACTAACAGAGGAATACTTACTAAGTGGTTTGCATAGGTTTTTGTCACTGTATGTTTTTTTTTATACCACTGAGGTGGCAAACAAGTATACGGCCCACCTGATGGTAAGTGGTTACCGTAGCCTATGAACACCTGCAATACCAGAGGTATTACGCGCGCGTTGCCGACCCTGAAGAAACCTCATTACCCCTCTTTTGAAGAACCCCATGCTGTAGTCTCTTGGGAAAAGTTATTTAGTTTGAAGAGTAACAGGCTCGGAAATATAACATCTTAGTACTTAACGTGGCAATGAAATAATTAAGGGGTACAATGAGTATAATATGTATGTATGATATCTAATGATATGTAAATGATGACATGCATGTAATCTATGAAACTATAGTGCTGTATTATATATGCCTATATCTATATATTCTATCTATATATATATATCTACTTCTGTCTTCTACACTTAAATAGAATTTTTTTTCCAAAAAATCTTTAACGTCATATTTATGTTACCAAAGTCAAAAAATATTGGTTAGATTTTTCCTGTTTGTCAGTTTATCTGTGTGCGTGTTTCTGAAAGCTTTTAACCGATTCGAATGCGGTTTTCATTGATACATTATGACAAGTTTCAGGTAACGTAAGTATTTGCTACATTCCAATCGGTTTACGAACAAATTTAAACGCACGCAGACAGCTTCGCCGGCGTAACGAGTTATCAATAAAAGTGATTCTGTATTAAAGAATTTAGTGAAATATGTGTAATTAAATTAATTTGGAATTGAAAGAAAAGAAAATATTTCTTAAAAATTTATTTATTTTTCATTTTATTGTGCTTTTCATATTTTATAAATGGAATTGCCGTTCCACGATTTGATTACAATAGTGTTTCAACTTTATTTCTATACAAAAATGGAACAAATTGTAAAAAAATAAATTATACATACAATAAAAACAGAAAACAAAAACAATTTTCATTTCGACAATCAAACAATATTACACCGTATCCAATTTTTATTAATAAAGTCCATATTTTATAGGTATTTAGATATATAATACAAGCCACGTTCCAATTGGGAACTTCAAAGTATATTCCGATGTTTTCTCACAAGCATACATAATAATTGTGATAGAGAAAAAAAAATAATATAATTATAAAAAAATGCTATTAAGAAATACAATGCGCATTGTCACATTGGACAGTCAAAAATAGCACCAATGGGAAAGTAATAAAATTATGATTGGAAAATACAATTTTGGAAAACTGTGATTTTACACCTATTGTATTTAATGCAATGTGAATATTTTATGATATGATTATAAAATTCAACCCACTGTTTCGCTTAATTGTTTTATCTACTTTTTACAATATCTACAAATTCAGAAATCAATATACACAACACTTTTATCCGACACAGTGGTGTGTCCAAATTTATTAATTCGATAATTGTGATAAATTTAGGACTAGTTCAAATAACTTACTAGGACGAAATTTCTATCACTACTCAAATATGGTCACGTAGTTTTTGTACAAAATTATATTAATAATAATTATAGTGGAAAAGAAAAAAATGGATCAATTTCTCTATTTCCTAATAGGGCCAAATTCTCTACTTTAATAGAATTAATTATGTACAGAATTGTAGAAAAGTAGTCCCTACGAGGATCATGTGGGTTCGTATTCAACAGTGGTTTCTAATTAGGGGACAGACTCTGTCTAGAAGGCAGAAAAATTGAGGCCATAGTAATCAGTTAGGCCATTAGGTAAGTCTACAAAATTTACGATACTATAATATCGATTATATTAATTCCTGTTTTATAAAATTGATAGTCCAGTATCACTGTGACACGGTTATGGCACACGACCATTTCACACAAGTCTCCTAAAGTCCACCAGTCTGTTCATGACATAGGGATTTCGGCTGATAGTCGATGTCTCGACGAGGCTCGCGTACCACAAGTGCCGCACGTATTATTGCTATAACCAGAATCAGAGCCGAAGGAAGAATCTCCGCTGGGGGGTTTCGGAGACGCCCTTGGCCCTCTCCAACATCCAATACCAGGCAATTCACCACCAGGCCAAGCCCCTCCAGCTCCGACGGGCATCGGCCCCGGAGGTCTCGCTCCGACTGTACCAACTTGGGGATATAATCTTAACAAAGCATCCAGTAACACACCTTCGTGGAATTCCGAGGGGTCCGGTGGATGGATATGTCGAGGCATTCTGTGTTGGGTTCTTCTACGCTCTAATGATTTAGGCCTTCTGTCTAACCGCTGATGTCTGGGGCGATGGGGCAGCGATTGGGGTGCAGGAGGTCTCAAACAAGTCCGGCACGGAGCGGCTTCACCGACTAGACTCAGTTCGTCTTCTGCGAAGTGGTCATCACTATGCAGAGAGTCGTCTGATCGGTGTGGGAGCTCTTCGTAAAGCGGTGCACCGCACGTGTCCCCCCCACATGTGTTTCCACCACGCCAAGTGCCACCTGAGCCGCAGACGAAAACTCGTCCAGCACAATTGGGTCTTTTGGTCTCCACCATCTGGAAAATGGGAAAATACTTGTTTAGACTAAGAACAAAATTATATTCTTTACTAGTTTTAGCCCACGGCTTCGCTCGCATATGGTATTCGATTTCTCATTCTATAAAATTTCACGAGTTTGACTTCCAAACTAACGAAATTTCATATAAACTTTGAACCTTCTAATCCCTTTAAGGATTTAATTTTCAAAATACCTTTCTTATTGTTCATTTACGCTATATAAAGAATCTATCTGCAAAACTCCAAGATACTAGGGTCCGTAGTTTTGGCTATGCGTTGATAAATGTGTCAATCAGTCAATCATTCAGTATCCTCTTTTATATATATATATAAATTAGCTAAATCGATAGAAATAACGGTTTAATCTTCATATCCAGTAACTTTACGTAAACATACTAACGATAATTTAGTTTGAACTCCGCAATTTTCGCTTCAAACGCATACATATCTCATTTTAATAAGCAGTGACGTGCGAATATTGCTCTCTAGCTGAGAGGATCAACTTTGAAGTAAATTGCGTTTCTGACGTATTGATATAAAAATGAGCCAAGATTCCCACTGATAATATAAAAGTTGCACTTATATACAGAATTTGAACTAAATAAATTTATTGTTGCCTTACGCACACCTTGTATATGGCGAATATTTACTTAGAAATGTTTAGGCAAGATCGACTACAAATATCACAAGATGGTTAAAAATAAATGCGTTCAATTTTATGTAAGTTGTGTATCTAGTGTTATTGCATATCAATGTTTTGAAATACGCATAATATTATATAAATAAAAGTATTTATCAAGATGAATAATTTATAGGAACTAATCATAAAATATGGAGATTTTAGTAAAACTAATATATACGTAATGCTCACCAGACCTCGGAGACTTTGTGCAAAAGTCGATTGCTTGGGTACCTCTGTCCCATTCGTGTTTCAACTGTGAAGCAGTTGTGTTTGCATGGCTGTGTTTCGGTTTGAAGGGTGGGATATGGCGTGAATTTACAGGGTATAGAGGAATAACACCTGAGTCCTCAGGAATGGCAACGCATGGGGGGTATCATGGGCGAAACAGTATATTTATTTATTTAACTCTTTATTGCACCATAAATAAAAATATACAATGACAAGTGAATAATTCAAATGAAATACAGTAATATAAATACAGATTGAAATATACAATTGAAAGGTACAAAAGGCGGTCTTATCGCTAGGGCAATCTCTTACAGACAACCTATACTCTGTTATGTCCATGGTACTGCACATGTACTTATGTCTATAGGTGACGGTTACCACTTTCCATTAGGTGGGCCGTCAGCTTGTTTGCCATTCTAAGTCGTAAATAAAAAAAAAAAAAAACCTAATGCGTTCTTGTTGATATCATAAAATTTCATTTAAATAAAAATCTTTCTAAGAAAAATAATATTTAGAATCTTCCTACAAAAGAAACTAACGCGATTTAAAAAAAATAATTGTACTAAAATATCGTACTCGGTGACTTTTATTATAAAATATCATCATTATTTTTTTTTATATTTCTATTTACTTTAATATTTATTTTTTATTCAATTACATGAATCGAATAATACTTAAGCTAAGATAGCACTGTGATAAATCAGGCATGGAAAATCTAGAAGCATCACTCAGAATACCCAGACTTGTGTCAATACGGAAAAGTCCTTCTCCTAAATTGGTCTAACTGGGAAACGAACCCGGGATCTCATTTAAATAATGCAACATAAAAGCACCCAAAAAAAAAAAACAACGAGTTCTAAAATTCTATTAATCCTTTTCCTGTTAATATTATAAATGCAAAAAATTTGTTACTCTTTCACGCAAAAAGTACTGTACGTATTGGAATAAGATTTGGAATACGGGTAGGTTACATTCTATTCTATTTAATACATAGAATACTTTATGTACTTATTGATTAAAGCGGACGAAGCCGCGGGATACAGATAGTAATAATTATTATATCATCTCACCTCCAATTGGGGCTCAAGGTCCGGTCTGTGCGGCAGTGGTGGCCGTCTGGGCAGATCCTGCAGGTCTTCGTAAAGAGGAGCAGGAGGCGGCACCCTCCGCTGGGACCCGGCCTGGCTTGGAGCTGATGATTTCGAAGGTAGCAGGTTGGTCACTTTCCGTTTATGCCTGTTGAAGAAAAAATAGAATTAGTATGTTTGAAACGATTTTGAAAAAATATTTGTCGGTTAATTATAGTTAACTATTTAGGGTTTAATTATAATTAATTATTTAGGGATTAATTAAAATTAACTATTTAGGGTTTAATAATAATTAACTATTTAGGATAGATATTTTTTGTTTCTATTCTCTTTATTTTTACCCTCCAAAAGATGTAGTAATAATTTTATAATAAAAAAAATACAAGAAAATATTACACCAAGAAAACAATGGACGAGCTCTTCAAGGCAACCTTTGAACACTTTAATGTACTTGTATGCTTTAATTTATGAACTTAAGTTAGTCGTGTAGGTTGGTAAAATGGTATGGTAACCCCGCTTGCGCTAACGGTATACGCTGGCGGAGCACCAGTGATGGGTGATAGATGAGAATGAAAACAGGCCAGTTTGCCCATCATGATGAATTCATCAGTAATTAACCATCATAGTTTCCAGGGAGAACCGCGAGGAGGTCGACCTGGTTGGGCATATTGCTAGCAATGGGATTCTCAGTCTCCATTACTAACAATCCCTTTGTCCCCAGTCATGTAGGTTAGAATATACTATCCCGACATAGATTAAGCCATCCCTTTCTTCCCCGTGGGTGTCGTAAGAGGCGGCTAAGGAGGGCGAGGAATCGGCAGCAGCGTTCCTCTTGCTCGTAAAACCTTACCAAAGCCTAACTGTGTTTGCCAACCCACTTGCAAAGCGTGGCAACTACTGGCAAAATTTTCCCAATAAAGGAAGCCCTATGTTCAATAGTAGATATGAGGGAGACTTTGTACCAAAGTCGATTGCTTGGGTACCTCTGTCCCATTCGTGTTTCAACCGTGAAGCAGTTGTGTTTGCATGGCTGTGTTTCAGTTTGAAGGGTGGGATATGGCGTGAATTTACTGGGTACAGAGGAATAACACCTGATTCCTCAGGAATGGCAACGCATGGGGGGTATCATGGGCGAAACAGTGTACTCTGTTATGTCCATGGTACTGCCCATGTCTATAGGCGACGGTTACCACTTTCCATCAGGTGGGCCGTCAGCTTGTTTGCCATTCTAAGTTGTATAAAAAATATATAATATATATATATATATATATATATATATATATATATATATATATATATATATATAAACATCGTTAAAAAATGAACATATATTTTAAAATAAAATTAATAATAAATAGAAGTTATCTAGATAGAAGTTACATAATTATAAAGTGTATTCTAAATTAATAACTTTATATAACGTATTCTGAATATGTTTAAAGTATTCCAGATACTCATTATACTGGGTTCGCAATTTCCAAGTGTCTCCAATAACATCATTTACATCAATTAATTTTTCAAAGACGTCGTCGTGTTATTAATTTGGAACTTTGCAGACAGTTACTTAGTAAAGTTACTATATATAGGCGTATATTTATTATTGACCTTTAACGACTAACACTACGTATTCTCCCGTATCTACGCAGTGTCCAGTGTGGTCCCGGCATAGAATAGACCACCCCTTCCTTTCCCGTGGCTGTCGTAAGAGGCGACTAAGAGAGGGCGAGAGATCGGCAGCAGTACTCGTCTTTAAATGCCTCTAAAGCCAACTGCGGTTGCCAATCCGTCTGCCAAACGTGGCAATTACTAACAGAACCCGTTAAGAGAAAACTCTTAAATTATAGTATAAAACAAAGTTGCTGTCGCTGTCTGTCCGTCCCTTAAATCTTTAAAACTACACAATGGATTTTGAAACGGTTTTTTTTTATAGATAGAGTGATTCAAGAGGAAGGTTTATATGTATAATACATGCATAATATTGCAGAGAAACACTGATAATTTTAGAGGATTCTAATGTGATGTCGTAAATAAACACATTTTTTTGCGCTTACATTGCAAACGCTGGCTGAACCCCACAAGATAAATCAAAATAATGTACTTCAGTATTGTACATCTTAAAAAGGTCAATAAAAAAGTCCGGTATGGCATATGTCTATCTCTTAAGGATAACCCACAATAACCACTTTTTATCGTTTACATTTTACGGGACAAAATGGCTTATTTACGAAGTGATTTTGAGCAATACAGCATAAATTTTTATCCAATTAAGCACCTTAAAAACATTGTCCATTTAATATAGATAAACATGGCCCTTTACAGCATGTAATTTAAATGAATATTTCCGAAGATATTACAGATTTAAAATGCAGGGACATAGCGGGTGTGGTATTGCACCCGTGCGAAGCCGGGGCGGGTCGCTAGTTTTGAATATACAAAATATATAAGTTTTTTTTTTTACCATAAGTAATGCTCCCGTTCCTTATGGCAGTCTGTGGAGGTATATGTTCAATGGTTGACGGCTGATTAGATGACGAAGACGATTAATTTTTTTGTATTCTTTAAATAATTTAAATAATACAATGCTCCATCTATTTCATCTTTAAAGTATGACAAATAAATAGTATCTGTTATTTACAATGCAACATACGTTTCCGAGATTACGAATAATGAAAATTATACCTTCAAATAATTCAAAAGAATCTTTATTTCCCATCACTATTTATCTGTACGAAACCACAAATCGTTAGGGACCTTTGAGTTTTTATTGTATTCAACTATCAAAGATCTCTTAATATATTTGTCCATAGTTGAATATCATATTTTGCGGCGTTTGTATTCTTCGGCCGTTCTTGTATAACTGTATTTTAATAACGGTACAGGTTAACGTGGATACGACAAAATGTTTTATTTTTATTTTATTTATTCATTGAAAATAATTATAACAACTTTACATACATTATAACAACGGCAAAAGCCAAATCAATGTTATAAATCTAGTGTGCTAACATACAAAGTTATAATAAATGTATTTAACCCGACTCTAGATATTTCTGAACCGCTTCTAATATCTTTGGCAGGCTACTACTAAATATATCAATGATGTTTATAATATTAATATTGACTAATATTCTATTGATTAATGACGATGATTATAAATGCGAAAGTCTGTAACGATGGCTGAATTGACAGATGAATAGATGGACAATTATTACTCTTTCATACAAAAACTTCTAAACGGATTTGAATGAAATTTGGTACACGTATTTCCTCAGTAAATTTGTCAAAAATTTTATAAATATTTTGATATTTATAATATATTTATAGTAACTGATATACAGTTAGTAAATTTGGAATATATTACACCAGGATACCAAATTTATTCGATCCACTCAAGCGTTTAAGTGTGATCAAGTAACAAATATACAAATACCCAAACGTATTTGTAATACGTAATAGTAACTTTTATATTTTTTTTAAAGTCATTTGCTTGGGTATCTCTGTCCCATTCGTGTTTCTGCCATGACGCAATTATGTTTGGATGGCTGTGTTTCAGTTTGAAGGCTGAGATATGGCAATAAAATTTCACGGTACGAAGGCATAACATCTTAGGCCTTAGGAATGGCAACACATGAATGGTATCATTGGTACATACGGTATATACATGGTACTGTTCATGTTTATAGGCGACGGTTACCACCTTGAGGTGGGTCGTCCGTGTGCTCTTCTAAGTAGTATAAAAAATAAAAAAATATTGGGATATCTATACAAATCTTTCGCGGTGCACGGCTCATCACTTCTACATCCGCAATGGCGCGATCCCTTTCAATTACACCGAAAAGATATGGCGTCATTATAAACCGATTAGACACGCCAATTTCACTGCTCTCGGGCAGATGTTCCTTTTAATATTTGTTGAAAAAGATCAGGTAGCTGCCATTTGTGATGAATCTATTAATATTAATAAAAATATGTCCATAATAATCTTTTGTTATTTTTTTTTAATAGTCCAATCAATAATTTTAAGTGATTGCAAAAACGAGAATGCATTTAATTTTTAGATTTTTTTTTTGGGTACTTATTTATTTTAAAGGCCGTGTGGTCCCGGCGTAAAATTGGCTACCCCTTCCTTTCCCGTAGGTGTCGTAAGAGGCGACTAAGGGAACTTAAAAGTCGAGGGATAGACAGCAGCGTCTCTCTTAAAATATTACAAAAGTCTAACTGCAGTTGCCAATCCGCCTATCAAGCGTGGCAATTATGGTACAGACAACCCAATCCCTCCCCCCCTTTATGCGAAATATCTGTGGTCAGCAGTGGACAGTTAACGGCTGATATAATGATGATGATGGGGTAATAATTTTTTTTTTGTATTGGGGGAAAGGGATTGTTAGTAATGGGGTCTAACTGACCCATTGCTAGCAATACATCCTATTAGGTCGACTTCCACGCAGTTCTCCATGGAAACCATCGTGGTTAATTCTAGTGGAATTCATCACGACGGGCTAACTGACCTGCTTTCATTGTCACCCTCACTGGTGCCCTGCGAGTGCATACCGATATATATATATATATATATATATATATATATATATATATATATATATATATATATATATATATATATATATATATATATATATATATATGATCATAGTCGTCATATTTCATTTGATAAGCAAGAAAGGTGAAAGATATTGTATCAAACGAGAAACAGCATCTTGGGCGAGTTGACATCGCGCCGGGACCACCCATATATTTCTATCGTACCTACTTACCTAGTATACAGCCGCCATCCCGTATTGGTTGTTTAATAATATAATTAAATATTTTGTACCACAAAAAAAAAATACTTCAACTGTAGCAAAATCCATTATTTTAATATGAAAACTAAACTACTCGTATTATACTGATTTTGATAAAATTTCTACAGAATCAATCTGTAAATATAAACTTTCAGATAAAAAAGAACTTTCTAAGTCGGTTTATAACTGAAATAGTTTAATAAAAAATACAACCGAACTTAGAATTTTCTTTTTTTAAAAAGTCGGTTGAAAAATCGTTTTCAGTTAAATTTCTTTACATATAAAATAAACATAGATATTGCTATCTGAAATAAATAAGTGCCTATGAAAATTGTCCGTATGCCCATGG